TTGAATAAGACTTATACTCAAGCAAGGAGTAATATTCTCATGATCAACCCTTTGCCTAGTGTAAACCATGCCTACTCATTACTGATGCAGGATGAAAATAAAAAAGAAGTGAATGTGACCTCACAGTTTCCAGGAGATGGATCTTCATGGCAGGACATCAGAACACTCAAATCAACAGAGGAAATCAAATTAACTCTCAGCAGAAAATTGGACACAACTCAATCAAAGGAAACAACAATTACAAAGGCAAGAAAAATTGTCAGATGTATTCCTACTGCAAGATGACCAATCACACTATTGAGAATTGCTATAGGCTTATAGGTTTTCCCTCTGATTTCAAATTCACTAAGCCAAAGAAGTTTCAAGGAACTGCAAAAGGGAATTCTGCTACAATAATGGAACAACTGGAGGGAATTCAAAACAACTCAGCTGAGGGACCTCAGTTTGCCCGGCAACTTTCCCCATATCAATTTACTCAGCTGGTCCAACTTCTGAATCAAATTCAAGTGGGACAATCAGATTTTTCATAAGTTAGTGAAAATTCAGTAGCTGGTATATTTCTTACAAACTGTCCCTCCTATTATTCAGTAGCTACCTCTAATTCTAGCTCTTGGATTATAGATTCAGGGGCTTATCAGCATATGTGCTTTAATGTCAAGTCTTTCTTGTTTCTTTTACCTCTTCATGTTCCTCTAATTGTCAAGCTGCCTACTCAACTAGGGTAAAAGTTACACACAGTGGTAGTGTTTCTATTTTCCCAGGTCTTACATTAAAAGGTGTTCTTCACATTCCCAGTTTCAGATATAATCTTTTGCCAGTTAATAGACTTTGTTGGGTATTCAAGTGTTTCTTGATTTTCACTTCTTTTGGATGCATTTTGCAAGGCCCTCTTCTAAATAGCCCTCAAGTTGGTAAAGCTAAGGAAGATCTTTACCTATTGGAGCCTCATAGGACACTATCTAAGGATTCTCTACCAAGACTCCCTTTTCATTTTTTAAGAGTTGTGTTTCTAGTTTAGTTTCAGTACCTTTACCAATTTCAGCAACAACATATTACGATGTAAGGTTTTGGTATGTTAGACTTGGGCATTTGCCTTTCAATGCAATGAAATATATCAGTTCCATTTTATTCTCATCTAATTCTCATTGTTCTTGTGATGTATGTCCTTTGGCTAGACAGTCCAGATTACCCTTCCCTAGTAGTCACATCAAAACCAAAGGCATATTTGACCTAATTCACATTGATACTTGGGGTCCTTACAAAACCCCTACTTAAAATGGATATAAATACTTTCTAACAATTGTCGATGATTTCAGTAGGGCAACTTGGACCTACTTGCTAAGTAGTAAGAACAATGGTTTTTCAGTCTTGAAATGGTTTTTGAGCATGGTAGAAAGACAGTTTGGCACCAAAGTCAAAATTATATGGCCTGATAACGCCTTAGAATTAGGTACAGGGACAACAACTTCTATTTTCCTCAAATCACAGGGTATTTTACATCAAACCTCATGTGTGGCTACCTCTTAATAGAATGGTATTATAGGAAGGAAACATATACACCTATTGGTGATTGCTAGGGCTATTGTTCCAATCTAAGTTGCCTATTTGTTATTAGGGAGAATATATTCTCACTGCTACCTTTCTCATAAACAAGTTTCCCTCTAGAGTTTTACAAGGAAAGACTTCCTTTGAATTGTTTTTTAATCAGAAACCTTCCTATCATTTCCTAAGATGCTTTGGATGTTTATGTTATGCCTCCACATTATCTCATCACAGGAGTAAATTTGAACCTAGGGCAAGGGCTTGTGTATTTCTGGGATATCCTAGTGGCCAAAAAGGTTATAAACTTCTAGATTTAGACACTAAAAAGGTCTTTGTATCTGGGAATGTCCATTTTCATGAAAACATTTATCCCTTTTCCTTCAATTCCAGTACCTCCCCACCTTTATTTCCCCTTACTTCTCCAATATCGGAACCTTCTACAACCTAACATACCTACTGTTTCACATCCCTTGCCTGCTCCTGCACCAACATCTCCTACCCCTCATACTCCTATTTTATCTCATTCTCCTGTGCTTTCTTCAACTTCCTCATCCTTTACCCCTATGTCTTCCCCTGCTCCTCGCTCTTCTACTACTACCATCCCTTTGAGAAGATCTGCCAGAACCAACCTAGGCACTCAACCTAGTTATCTCAAGTACTTCATTTGTAACATAATCTATGTCACTGATTTAACCAGCTCTTGTCTTGCCACACTCTCTTCTCCTCAAACTCTTGCCTTCACTGCCCTATCCCCACATAACCAACATCTCTTTTACTTTTTTTCTACTATCACAGAACCTACAAGCTACACCCAAGCTTGTTCTTATTCAGGTTGGAAGCAAGCTATGGACACAGAAATATCTGCCTTAGAGGCAAATCAAACATGGGAGGTTGTACTTCTTCCATATGGGAAGAAAGCTTTGCCTTGTAAATGGGTTTACAAGGTCAAACAGCATGCTGATGGTAGTATTGAAAGGTTGAAAGCTCGTCTAGTTATCAGAGGAGACATTCAAAGGGAAGGCATCGACTACACTGAAACTTTCTCTCCAGTGGTCAAAATGACCACCATCAGATGTCTACTATCTATTGATGTCAAGAAAGGGTGGGATGTTTCACAATTTGATGTAAACAATGCGTTTCTACATGGTGACCTGCAGGAGGAAGTATACATGAAGTTCCTGCAGGTCTGACCCCTCCTAGTCCCCATCATGTTTGCAAGTTATAGAAATCACTTTATGGCCTCAAACAAGCCTCAAGGCAGTGGTATGCCAGGCTTGCAGGGGCTCTCAGTTTCAAAGGGTTTTCCTCTTCTCTTAATGATTATTCTCTGTTTTTTAAGAAGACAGGGGATTTCATTTCCATTGTTGCGGTTTACATTATTGATATCTTAATTACTGGCAATCATCATGCTGAATTAGCAGACCTCAAGGCTTTTCTTCATTCAGAATTCAAAATTAAAGATCTTGGGTTGATATACTACTTCCTAGGCATGGAAATCTTACGAGAACAAGATGGTTTTATCATTACTCAGAAGAAATTTACAGAGGTCTTACCATCTGAGTTTAATTGCTCTCATCTCCCCATGGTGTCTTCTCCACTTGATCATTCTTTCAAACTAACAGCTGGCTCCAGTTCACTCCTAGCAGATGCTTCAATTTATCGGCGTCTTGTTGGCAAGTTAAATTACTTGACACATACAAGACTCGACCTTTCTTTTGCTGTTTTGACTCTAAGTTAATACATGCAAAGCCTTTTCTTGGTCATTTCATAGCTGCTCTCCGAGTTCTTTGTTATCTTTGCTCCAGTCCAGGGCAGAGGCTGCTTTTGAATTCAAAACCCTCTGTTTCTCTTTTGACTTTTTGCGACGCTGACTGGGCCTCTTGTCATGATACTTACCGGTCCATCAGTGGGTTCTTCATCAGCCTAAGGGCTTCTCCGGTCTCATGGAAATCCAAAAAGCAAGCTTCCATTTCCCTTTCCTCCGACGAGGCTGAGTATCGTTCTACGAGGCGTTTAGTGGCTGAGCTCACTTGGCTCACTCGCCTTCTTGCAATCTTTCTATACCACCCCCAATTCTGGTTCCTATCTTTTTCGATAGTCAGGCAGCCATACATATCTCACGAAACCCCGTATTCCATGAACGGACGAAACATGTGGAACTTGACTGTCACTTTGTGAGACATCAATTTCTGTCTGGTCTCATATCCCTTTCGTTTTTGCCTTCGAAATCACAACTTGCTGATTTGTTAACCAAACTCCTTTCTGGGCCTTCACATCGATCGATTCTTGACAAGTTGGGTCTCTCTTCGTTCCCCTCCAACTTGAGGGGGTGTGTTGGGAATCAATCTTTTGATTCCAAGTCTCAATGTGTTTTGATTCATGAAGAAGAAGAAGAAGAAGAAGAAGAAGAAGAAGAAGAAAGCAAATGAAAATGAAGAAGAGAAGAGAAAGTCTGAATATTTGGCGGAGAAAACAAATGACTCTCAATTTGGTCTCAAAAGGAAATCAAGGTCTAAGACACGTGTCCTCATCTCAAGCAACAAAGACATTTGTGATAGATTAGATCCTGGTCGTTCATTTGGGAATAATAAAGAGCTTCATAGGCCTGGAAGCTTCTTACACGTATAAGAAATTTCACACATATAGAGAATATTAGTTAGTTATTTGTTATGATTAGGCTAGTAGGATTCTTACAAGTGTACATCATTTCATTTGTCATCTGATTTTTTCTTAGCTAGGAATATTTGTATAAATAGACATTCTTTGTACAGTAAATGTATCAATGAAGAAAGCGGAAAATTTTCCCAATTAAACTCTTTAAATTTCTACAATAAGTAACATTAAGTTATCTTTTTTGAACTTTCAAAAAATGAGGAGTATTATGTCAAAGAGCAAGAGAGATAATTCTGGACGCAAATTACTCTCCGGATGAGGTAGAGTTTAATGAAGAGAGAGAATAAATATGTTACAAGTTCGAGTAAGATTACCAATACTGTTGGATGGAAGTTATCCATATACGTTAATTTTGGTTATGCCCAATCATATAGGGATTCTCCCTACTTTTCAGCTTTTCATTATAGAAGTAATTTGGCGTGTAAGTTGTTTAGTTGTACATTATGTAATATCTAATTTGGTTGTAACATATATAATTAACTTTTCTAGATATTGTGTTTATGAAAATTTCTTTTTGTCTTTTTTTCTCCGAAAAATGATGGGCGATCTTTACAGAAGGCGAATTCACTCTTTACTTTTTTGGTATAAATAGATCATACTAATTATACATAGTTATATATGGGTTTAAACAATTAAGTAGATATCTAATTCATATAATGGCTAGAACTTGTGTAACGGTGATAAAGAATCAATAACTCATGAACTCTAATTCAATAATCTTTGAGAGTCTTACTATTCAAGTGCACATTTCTTATTTCGGATATCATACAAGGCAATCTAGTCTACAAAAAACAATATAAATGCCAAAATAATAGACAACAGGATTAACAAGATTTTAGAAACTAATATGTTATCTGACTAGGAAATCATTATTATTACAGTGTAGAATAATGATTTTTCCCCAACTAATTAGTACACAAGCTTCTTCTTTTTTGTGTGTGTGGCTATTAGGGACAAAGGACATAAAATTTATTCAAGGAAAAATGAAAAGAAGAAGAAGCTACAGATAATGAAGAAAACACTTGATAGCTAAAAGTGGAGTTGAAATACTGTTGCAATATTGCAGAAGCAAATGGAACAACTTTAATATATAATTAAGCCCCTCTTTGTAGCATTGCTTGATACCTTTTGAAAGATTCAAGCTTTTGCAACCTCATCTTTTTATGGAATTTCCTGATAAACAAATCAGCCACATTATCGATCTCGTCTTCTAGTACGAAATTCTGTCCTTCTTCCTCTTTGAAATTCCTCACCATATCTATAGCTGATGCATTTGGATCACCTAAATATTCATCCTCTTCATCGAACAACGAATGTGTCAAATCCGGATACTTATCATCATAATCATCATACTTTTCGCCGTTGCTCAATAATAGTATCTCCTGATTATTTTGGTCGTTATACTGACAGTGTAAAGAATCTTCACTCGCTTCAGGAGCATTGTTGTAAAGTACAATGGCCTTGTTGTTTTCATTTTCATGATCTTGGGATTCTTCATCTTCTTCTTTATGGCCTAATAGTGAATGGATCTTGTGAGAAATGGCCTTAGTTCCTAGCCCTGAAAAAGAGAGTTTCTTGGATTTCAACAATGATAGGACTTCTAGCCTAGTTTTTAGAGCTTCAGTTTTGCTTTTGATGGCTGTTGATTTTGATTTGGCCATTGTGGTTAGTACTGAAATCACATGCTTTAGGTACTTAATTGCTGCATTGTTCTTCATTTTGTCTTTCTATTTGGAATCAAACACCAGTTGTGACCTGAAAATTTATCAATATGAGATACGTTTAGTCAACATATATATACATAAAGAAGTGTATGAAAATTTAGGTACTCAAAATTGACATAATAATTAACTGTCTTGTGGAGTAAGAGGATCTTATGACATATTACACTTTAATTCTACAACAACAACAACAACAAAAACAATAACAACAAACCGAGTGTAATCCCATAAGTGGGGTCTGGGGAGGATAACGTGTACGCAGACCTTATCCCTACCTTGTAAAGATAGAGAGGCTGTTTCCGATAGACCCTCGACTCAAGGAACAGTGAAAAGGAAGCAACAAACAATAGCAACAACAAGGTAGTAGTACAACGGAAGCGAAAGGCCCGTGTAATAACAAAGATCTAAGAATAAGAAAATATATACAGATAAAACTAGGAGAAAAATATCTCTGTATATGAATGAGCATTAGTCTATCAAATGTGTGATGATAAATTAGACAATACAAGATTTTACGACTATGAAATTGATAAGTATAAATGTGCAAAACATACAAAAAACATGGAAGAAGAGTTGTCCACAAATCTTACCTTAGAAATTGCTAAGCAACAAGCCAAGAGCAAACCTATTTTCCAAATCTCAATTTGTACTTGCCAATTTTACTTTGAGATGACCTCACCTAGATTTGTGTAAACAGCCAAATCTTCTTGCTTTTCAAAGTTTGCCTCACAACCTTTTCCTTAGTTAGCCACTTTTCCTTTCTTCTTATGTCACATAGAAAAGTATTTCTAGGATATTGTATGATCTCTTCAACTTCAATATATAACTTGCTACTTTGATATTTCTAGGAAAGTACGTAACCTTCAACTTCCTCACCACCTTACACTTTTTAGAGTGTTAAAACTACTCTTTACAACTCTTTTCTCAAAATACTTCCTAGCTTCTTTTTTGTGTGTGGATAACATTACTTTTTGAGTTAGCTCGCGTGCATTTTAATTATTCCATTAATTACCTATCACCTTTCACTAACACATGTATTGAACGTATAAGATTAAGGTACATAAAAAAAAAATTCGCTTTATGTTTTTTGTTTTTATTGATATTTGGACTTTATATCTCTAGTAATTTTCACTCACTTTATTAATCGTTGGGTCTGATTTTATGTTATATTCATACTATTTTTTGTTTTGCATAGTATTGTATTATTGCCCTTCCACTTATTTGCTGTCTCTTACGATGCTGATATTATTTTTCTGTTTTCTTTTGTTGTTACGGATCTATTCCTTTGTTCTTTTCTGATATTATGTTTTCTTCTGTTAAGCCGAGGGTCTTCCGAAAACAGCCTCTCTATCCTTCCAGGGTAGGGATTAGATCTGCATACACTCTACCCTCTCTACACTCCACTAATGAGATTTTACTTGATTATGTTGTTGTTTATTAATCGTTGGGTCATAAGCTTTGTACTTCTTAGCTTCTTCACTTCTCATGCCCTCTTTTAACTTTTCATTTTTCTCACCACATGCTATGCACTTCACCCACAAAGCAACTTTACCATTATTTGTCTATTTGCTTAAACAAAAGCAGTATCTTTTCTCCTTTCACTACAATCTTCTACTTAATAAAAAGCAAAGTTTGGCATAGTTACATCAATAACTTTTCCATGAAGTAACTCAAATCTCCTAAGTTTTAATTTCTTATTGGTTGACACATGCCCATACCTAAGAAAAGTAGCACCGACTCTCACTGCCAAAAGAAGAGAAGAGAAGAGAAAAAGAGAGAAAGAGCTGTTAATAGGGTAGGGAAAAAAGAAGATTCTTGCTTTATCTAAAAGGGGAAAAAGTGTAAATTAACGGCTTAATTTGAAAGGCCACTTGGTATTAGCACATAATTAGAAGCTAATCGACAGGAATTATATGGCAATTTTAGTATATAAAATAGGAAATATTATAGTGCATCAGTAAAAATTTCTACTTTCGTACACATGCTAAAAAGATATATAAATCTCAATTGTGGAATCCCCTATGCGGTTTCTTTTTTTCTTTTTTCTTGTTTCTTTGGTTAGTGATGAGTCACCTATATTAGAATTGAACGTTCAGCTTTATTTTGTGCTATATTGGTCAATTTGAGTTCTTTAGTTTTCTTCAAAACATTAGGGTAGTAATATGGCTTTATTGGATCGAATGTTATATTCAAGGTTTACAACTTTGTTCTTTTAAGGGTTTTCCACCCCGGTGTCTAATATTCATATTGTTGCCACGACTAATTCGAATTTGCGTTACGTGAGGCTCAAGAGGGAAGCACTCTGTATAAGGATTTTTTTAAAAATATTTTAGGGCTCAAAAAAAGACCTCAGATTAAGAATGAGAATGATCTTATCCATCCCTGTATACGGTAGAAATCGAAGCTATCCGATTTCATTCTTTGGTCGGGGTAGGAACATCACGTCGAAGAGCTGGGACGTCGAGTCCGGATCGAGGTAGACATCGATTGCGACAAGAAAGAGGCAAACTTCGAGTGGCATCGGCGTAGCCTGATAACGAAAAAGGCGAGATATCCGCGATTGGCCAAGGATCGTGGAGTGAATCTCGGAATGGATCAATCTATAGCGGTTAATTAGATGCTAATATGATTTCCTGCTATAATTAAAGTGTACCTTAGTTAGGACTCCCCTATTATATAAAGAGGGATCCCATTCATTTGTAAGCATGATTATTCATTGATAAGAATTTATACACTCATTACTTTCTTGCTATTTCATTTACTGTTTATCAAAGTTACTTTATCATTTGCTATCCCACCTCGAGGCTATCCGAAGTCAAGGTCGAGACCTGGCGAACACACTGGTTTGATTAACTTCATTCTCTGATTTATCCGTTTATTTTCTTTCTTATCAGTTGGTATTGGACGAAATCACATATCCTGAAAACCACAATATAAGTTTAATTGTTACTCGAATTTTAGGGTAGACAGTTTGGCGCCCACTGTGGGGCTAAGATAATAGTGATTGTTCGGTATTGATTCTGGTAATAGTGATTGTTCGGTATTGATTCTGATAACACACATTATTTTACGCTTGTTCTTGTCAAGTATTTTTGCTTTCAGGTTAAAACATGTCAAACTCACACAACGCACCAACACATGGTGACGATGGTCTCAGGCTTCACGCGGAAAATGACATGTAATTGCTCCAGGAGTCGGGGTGCCACCGGCTAATCTCGGGGGAGAACCGGTTGCCGACCCAGTTGATGTCAGTTCGCACATTGCTTTAAATGCGGACCTAGGCGCGGACCCCGAAGGGAGTGTGCGTAGGGAGGGCCGACCTGGTGGCCAATACAGGGTATAGGAGACGGGGGAGTTAGTCTCCAGGTGATATTTGAGATGCTGCAGTTGCTCAACTTCAAAATCAACACAGAACTTCGAGTGGGGTCGAGTCGGAAATCACTCTCCGTACCGAGCCAGTGCCAGAGAGGCCGAATGGTAACGAATCGGGGACCGATCCTGCAGTAATGAAAATGCTCGAGGAGCTCACAAGAGAATCGAGTCAGGAGAGAAGAAAATCGAAACTAATGATAAAAAAGTGGAGACATACAACTCTTGAGTTGATCAGATACCGGGGCACCACCAATCTTGAAAGGGATGGATTCGAAGAAGTTTGTACAAAAGTCGTTTCCTCAAAGTGCGGCTTCGAAGCCTATTCCAAAGAAGTTTTGTATACCGGACATACCCAAATATAATGGGACCACCGATCCTAACGAATATGCTACTTCATATACATGCGCCATCAAGGGTAACGATTTAGAAGGTGATGAGATCGAATCTGTGATGTTGAAAAAGTTCGGAGAGACCCTTTCAAAGGGAGCAATGATTCGGTATCACAACCTACCGGCAAATTTCATCGACTCATTTTCCATGTTAGCAGATTCTTTTGTAAATGCACACGCCGAGTCCATAAAGGTCGCAACAAGAAAATCAGATCTTTTCAAGGTAAGACAAAGGGATAACGAAATGCTAAAGGAGTCCGAACCCCGATTTTAAATGGAACGCATGGAGTTTCCACCGGTCACAGTTGATTGGGCCATTCAAGCTTTCACCTAAGGGTTGAACGAGTGGAGTTCGGTAGCATCACGTTAGTTGAAACAAAATTTGATCGAGTATCCAGCTGTAACTTGGGGAGATGTGCACAATCAATATCAATTGAAGATCAAGGTCGAGGATGACCAATTAGGAGCCCCTTCCGGTTCAGTACATCCAAACAGGTCGGCAGTTAAAACCTAGAGGGACGTCGACAGGGAGCCAAGGTCGAACAAAGAACAATATCAACCATATACCACAGATCGAAGGAACAATAGTTCAGGACGCAATTCCGCACGGAACGATCGAAGAAGTGATCGAGGATAGAATTCTCAGGGACTTATGAGTAAAAGTGGTTTTGAGAAGTACGCCGATCCCGTAGAGGCACATCGATTGTCGGAATATAATTTTAGTGTCGATGCGTCAGGCATTGTATCGGCAATTGGGAGAGTCAAAGATACCAGATGGCCCAGGCCCATACAGACCGATCTTTCCCAAAGGAACCCCAATCTGATGTGTAAATATCATGGCACGCATGGTCACAAGACCGAAGACTGCATGCAATTAAGAGAGGAGGTAGCTCGTTTGTTCAATGAGGGCCACCTTCGAGAATTCCTAAGTGATCGAGCCAAGAATCATTTTAAGGAAAGGGACGCCAACAGGAAAAATGAACGGGAGGAACCACAGCATGTAATTCATATGATCGTCGGAGGGGTCGATATTCCACAAGGGCCCGTATTCAAATGCACTAAGGTATCAATTACTAGGGAGAAACGGACCCGGGATTATGTGCTCGAGGGCTACTTATCATTCAATTACGAAGAAGCAGAAGGCATTTCTTAGCCCCACAACGACGCTCTGGTAATTTCTATCTTATTAAATAAAGTTCAAGTTAAGCGTGTTTTAGTGGATCCAGGTAGCTCGGCAAATATCATCCGATCGAGGGTCGTGGAGCAGCTCGGCCTACAAGATCAAATCGTACCCCAACTCGGGTCCTAAACGGCTTCAATATGGCCAGTGAAATAACTAAAGGGGAGATTATTCTACGGGTAAACGTGGCTGGAACCATTTAAGATACCAAGTTCCACGTAGTTGAGGGAGACATGAGGTAAAATGCACTACTCGGAAGGCCTTGGATCCACAATATGAGGATAGTCCCTTCGACTCTCCACCAAATGATGAAATTCCCGACGCCGGATGGTGTGAAAATAGTATACGGGGAGCAGCATGCTGCAAAGGAAATGTTTGCAATTGATGAGGTAACACTAATATCGACGTTATCTACCTCGGAAAGGTCGAGCATCAAAGGTAAACAGGACGCCAAATAGCAATCACAGCCACCAGCCTCGACCGAATCGGGGAAGCAGGAGATGGAAGAAGAAGAGGTTTTCTAACCCCTCGAACTTTTATTGTTCCCGAAGATTCTGACGCCACCAAATCAACGGTCGAAGAGCTGGAACAGGTTATATTGATT